AATACCAGCTGGAACGACTCCGTTTGAACTATGGAACGGTAGGAAGCCAGATGTCGGCCATGTGAGACCTATAGGATGTCTGTGCTACGTTCTTATTTGTAAACCTCTCAGAAATGGAAAGTTTGATCAAGTTTCAAGACAAGCAGTATTGTTAGGTCATACAGATCATAATTTGAATTATGAAGTATTCATTTTTGATTCCAATACTATTGTTATATCGCATAACGTGGTGTTTCGAGACGATAACTTTCCGTTCAAGAAACTCAAATCTTTTGATGTATCACATCTATCCTTTGATGATGATGCTCTGTTATTATTATCGGATCCTTCCGCCGTTGAACCTCTACAAGGGGAACAGAGCGACGACGCTGAAGAACCTGGTGGTGAAGGAATGCACCAGGCCTATGACAATATCAACACCAATTTACTTGTCGATTCACAACATATACCTGATACAGATGATCAAGTGATTGCACCTGAAGACGATCAAATCCATCAACCTATTGAATCTGAGCCGGTTGTCGAAGACGAGCCTGAAAATGATGTACCTAGAAGATCAGGACGAGCATGGGTACCTACAGACTTTTATCGGCCTTCGGCAAGTTTTGCATACTGGGAAGACGATGGTGCATTTATGAATTTTCATGAGTATGGTTACTATGCTTTTGCGGTTGGTCCAGTTGTTAGGCTTATTAATGAACCCCATAATTTTAAGTCAGCTATGAACGGTCAGGATGTTGAAAAATGGAAGGAGGCCTGTGAGAAGGAGTTAGAAAACATGAAGGAGAAGAAAGTGTGGCGTTTGGTTCCTAGGCCAGCAAATCATCCTGTGGTCAGTAGTAAGTGGCACTTTAAAGTAAAGCTGAATCCAGATGGGTCGATCAACAAACATAAGGCAAGAATTGTTGCGAAGGGGTACACTCAAACCTACGGATTGGATTATAATCAGACATTTGCACCAACTGGGAAGCCTGCTTCTTTTCGAGCTGTGGTTGCATTCACGACTTATCATGGGTTTGAGATACATTCAATGGATGCCGTAGCGGCTTTCTTAAATAGTAGATTGAAAGAGAAGATATACATGGAGCAGCCAGAAGGATACGAGATGAAATTACCTGATATAGATGATGATGATCTAGTGTGTGAATTATTACAGGCATTATACGGGTTGAAGCAATCAGCGAGAGAATGGAATGACGATTTTAAAGAGAAGTGTATCAAGGCTGGATTCAAGCAATCAGAAGCGGATGAATGTGTTTACATCAGATGTCGAGGAAATGATATTATTGTGTTCTATTTACATGTAGATGATTTGGCTATTACTGGTAATGCAATCAAGGCATTTAAAGAAGAAATAAGTGGTTTTTGGAAGATGGAGGATTTGGGTATCTCTACTTGTGTAGTGGGCATTCAAATAGTTCGAGCAAGTAAACATCATTATATCATTGGACAGGAAGCTATGTCTCGGTCGTTACTGGAGCGTTTCGGTATGATGGATTGTAAACCAGCAACAACCCCATTTCCGGGAGGATTGAAACTCACAAAAGCAACGGACGATGAAGCTAAAGCGTTTGCATTACTCAATTTTCCTTACAATAGCGGGGTGGGTAGTCTCATGTATTTGTCCCAGTGTACCCGACCGGATATTGCGTATGCGGTAGGATGCCTATCTCAACATCTTCAACGACCAGCTCTGCGTCACTGGGAAGCTTTTAAACATGTGCTTTGATATCTAAAAGGGACTTTATCCTACTGTATCCATTACGACAATGAAAATTTATCAACTGACGTCATTAGTAATAACGCGTACTCATTACCAGAACACTTTGCGGATGCGGACTGGGCTGGAGACAAAAGTACTAGGAGGTCAACGACGGGGTACGTTTTCATGTTATGTGGTGGAGCCATAAGTTGGCGTAGTAGGCTGCAACAGACGGTAGCGAAATCGTCAACTGAAGCAGAGTATAGAGCGGCAAATGAAGCGGGAGATGAAATGATCTGGTTGGCTCTATTCTTAAAATCTATAGGTTTCCAGCAATCAGTGCCATACTTATTAAATTGTGACAGTTTGAGCGCTATGGATTTAGCTGATAACGCTGTATTGCATGGAAGGACAAAAGCTATAGAGATACAGATGCATTGGATACGAGATAAAGTCAAGGATGGAATATTGAAATTGGTGCATTGTAATTCAGAAGACATGATTGCAGATTTACTGACAAAGCCATTACACCCGGGTCAATTCAATCATTTTAGAAGGTTAATAGGTATGAGATCAGTGGATGAATAGGTGTTTCAATTATGTCGATTGAGGGGGTGTGTTGAAGTGTGCAATCGACGAATGATGAGATGACGTGTTAAAGAAAGGAGGATTAATTCACATAAACCGTTGAGGAAAATGTTTGCTAAAATTTACCCCAATCGAATTCAGGAAAATCCATATTATACTTATAACAATCCATGAATCCAAATTACTTCTCTTTCCTCATCTTTGGAAAGAGAAGTGAGTACATTTCATTATTTGATTTCTTATTTCTTACTTCATTTAAACTATCGAGATTAATGATTGATTGTTGTTACTGTTTGTTCTAATTAAGATCTTTTACTCTTGAGCCCAAAGATCAGTTATCGAATCATAGATAACTTATACTAATACATTATCTGTACCAATCATATAGGTACAAATCTCATAGTCTTATAGTTTCTCTATATTCATGTTTCTAGTGTGTGTTGTTTTAGGTCAGAGCTATCTTTGTAGATTTCGTGCTGGGTATTGGTTCTCATCGTGCTATTGTGCACACTCTTAGGTGAATAGAATTATCTTGGAAAGAGAAATCTTTACTCTGAATAAACTCCTTCCCCGTCCCAAAAGGAGTTTAAAACGGGACTTTGGATCAACGCCAAAAGGGAGTTTATCCGTGCAATAAACTCCCTTTTGTACTTCACAAAATTTCATCTCGAAAGACTTCAACCCTCCTCAATCGATCCAATATGTATTCACTTCATAAGATGCTTGTTCTTTCACTCAATCAACATCTTCAACACTACACCATCATACTCAAGACTCGCAAGCCAATCCTTGCTTGTACTCCTTGCTTTCTGTGTAAAAAGTTGTCTTTTGTGATTGTACAAATGAAATCTTGAAAACCAATTTTGATTGAAGGAACGAGTTATCGATTGTTCAATTTCCAGTCAATTTTGCAATTTCAATCAATCGGTCAATTTTAAATCAATTTTTCAAAACCGAATCATATCATTGCAACTTCATTCTATCAATCTCAATCAATTGTTGAACTTCAAAAAATCTCAAAACAAATCACTCTTGAAAGATGAGATAAATAGGGAGTGGTGGAGAGTGTTGAATTTTGTGGGACATGTTTCTGTTATCGCAAGCGTGTTTGGGCAAAAGATTGTTGGATGGGAACAAAGGTTGTATCATATGATCATTACTTGTATCGGACATCGTTACTTCTCTTTCCTCATCTTTGGAAAGAGAAGTGAGTACATTTCATTATTTGATTTCTTATTTCTTACTTCATTTAAACTATCGAGATTAATGATTGATTGTTGTTACTGTTTGTTCTAATTAAGATCTTTTACTCTTGAGCCCAAAGATCAGTTATCGAATCATAGATAACTTATACTAATACATTATCTGTACCAATCATATAGGTACAAATCTCATAGTCTTATAGTTTCTCTATATTCATGTTTCTAGTGTGTGTTGTTTTAGGTCAGAGCTATCTTTGTAGATTTCGTGCTGGGTATTGGTTCTCATCGTGCTATTGTGCACACTCTTAGGTGAATAGAATTATCTTTGGAAAGAGAAATCTTTTACTCTTGAGCCCAAAGATCAGTTATCGAATCATAGATAACTTATACTAATACATTATCTGTACCAATCATATAGGTCAGAGCTATCTTTGTAGATTTCGTGCTGGGTATTGGTTCTCATCGTGCTATTGTGCACACTCTTAGGTCAGAGCTATCTTTGTAGATTTTGTGCTGGGTATTGGTTCTCATTGTGCTATTGTGCACACTCTTAGTTCCCCAAACCCACAGTAATCAACCTTGTTCCAAGACACTCAGATATTCTTAAATGAGTTTGAGGGTATGGTGTGGGTGAATTGAATTGATTGATTGGATAAGAATGTGTAAAATTGAAGACAGATGCCAGGATAGATCAGCAACTATAACAGATGCAAGTTGATGAGATTGAAAGAAATAGAATGAGAAGACAGACTACATACCTTTATAACATAAAGCAGTTGGTTGGTCCACAATTGCAAACTTAAAAGCCGCTGATTGTCAAGGCTGAGAAAAATTGAGATTCTGTGGCATGGACTGTCCATGGTGTAACAAAAGATCTGAAAAGAAATTCCAAAACTTGTTAATCAAAATGTTAGGAATGGTATACAGGCGCAAAATTGAAAGGTGTGCATTAATTAGATGGATTGGTGGATTTAGGTAGTGGTGGATGAGGTAAAGCCTGACCCCTGAGGCTCGAGCCTCGGGCCGTTGGCGAGGGACTTAGTTAAGTTTGGTTAGTGACACGGTGTAGGAAACCCGTTCATTGTTTTCCAAAGGTAGAAGTTGATGCAATCCATAGAGATGGTGTCTTGGACTTCTCCTTTGGCATGATTGCAGGTGGTGGGGTGTAAGAAAAGTGCAAGCAAGTCCAAGAACAGAATAAAAAGCTGAAGCTGGTTCTGGGGCACGCAAGGCGCTTCTCGCGCCACGCCCACCACGTGAACATTGCGCACGAAAGGATCAGACCTGATAACATTTTACTGAGCAGAGAAAGATTTTTTGTATTCCAATCGACAAACAAAGACTGAAAGAAACTTCAGTCAGCCTAGTTTACATCCAATGAAAGGAGTCTATCCGCATCCACGATTTAAAATATGATACAAGAAGTGAAAATGAGGACAGCAGATTATTTTCCCTAAACTCGAAACAATTCAGACTCATGATACATTGATCGGAATGGTAATATTAAGCTACGAAGGTGCGTTTAAGATCCTTCGCAAGTTTCTTGTCATTCGTCTCTTTTCCATTCCCTTGGTCGGAATTTCCTGGATGGCCATTGTGATCAATTTTTCACCATCCCTAAGCCCTCGAAGAAACCATACAGAGTAGTCCGCCGCGTCTTGATCGCGTGCGAGAAATTTCCCCATCTGTGGCAAGATTGAACCTGATCTGATAAGCTTAATCCTCTCACTTATGTAATGGTCAACAAAACCTAGCTCGCTGAAATTTTCTTGGGCAAAAAGCTTTGCCACCGCGAATCCATCAGAATATGAATCCTGGAGGAGTGATCCAGAGCTCTCTGTGATATTGATATACTTTGGATCTTCAGGGAGGGCGGGGCTTGATGAGAGCTCACTTATTTGCCGTCTTTTCCGAGATATGGTTCTTCGTGATAACGAGAGAGGTGGCAGGCTGCTGGTCACTCCTTTTCGTGTACTGGGTGCAACGAGTTGAGATATTGAAGAACGAAGTTCGGCGGTGGTAGTCTCTTGGTTGATCCGTTGGCCATTGTATACCATGAAGTCAGGTGGTAAGATGTTCCCCACTTCGGATTTGAAGCACCAATTCCCTTTATCGCACGATTCGCCCGTATAGCCTAAGTGAATTGAGACAAGACAGAAAGATCAGCGACCGTGATGATTCTCTGCCATGATGATTACTTACTCCAAAAGTGATACCCGTTGGTCATAGAGGCGTATGCTTCCAACTGCTGGTAGCACATCTTTTTCTCAGGCGCCAGTGGATTACTGTATTGTATGAGTTTCGCCTTTGAAATCAAACAGCTGAATTCTCCGATGATCATATTGTTATGCAACATTTCAGAAGCGTCTTGGATCATTGTTAAGGGAGTCGCTGGAACTTGACTAGGTGATGTGTTCGATACCGTATTTGCAGAAGACGATCCTCCATCATAAGTAAAATCTAATATATTCAATCCTCATCAAGCTGATCAGTTAGGTGCAGAAAGGCACTTTGAATGAATATATACTGACATGAATGATGGTCCAATATTAGCCAATCGACCCGGCTTTCCATATATTGCGCGGTTGAAGTTAAGGCATATCCGTCTTGTATATAGTAGGGGAACTCGGCCGCCAAAGGACACAGTTCGCGCAAAGCCGCCAGCAAGTCATCATCTTTGGAAGATGAGAAGAAGGCTTCAGTGATTCGCTACATGGGAGAAGAAAACATCATCATACTTACAAAATTCATCCATAGAAGCAGAGGGTGTTGGTTCATTAAGTAGTCCGATCCCAATCACGTTTGAGACTTGAGTTAGTCTTTCTGAGAGGAATGTCAGGACGTTCTTTGTCGCGGCGGTGTCCATGAACGATGTACCGTCACTTGTTCCACTACTCGCTTTGCCGTTCTGTGATCCGGGTGCACCATCTATGCCAGAAGATGACTAGGTGAGAGTCAGACACTCATTCATGACTGCCTGAAACACTCACGCAAATCTATCAAAACACCAATCCCATGGCTCGCCGCCATATTGATAGCATTCGTGATTTGTGACCAAGCGTTGATATAGACACCTGCCACGCTGTCAAACGCGGTTCCTGCGCAGAACTCAGGCCCCAGCATCCAGTACCCGATGGGAATTCGGACTGTGTTGATTCCTGTTGAGAGATGTAGTTCCGGTTGATAAGTTGGACGATCAGGATCAGACAGTTTTATGATAGTGGGGTTCTCGCACCAATGCTTTGGAGGTAAGCAAAGTCCTTTTCGGTGATGAAAGTATCCCAATGATGTTCCAAAACAGATCGAGCTTGTCGGATTCCCCCCCATCCTGAAGCCAGATCTAATTCAGCAGTCTTTGGCTCTTTGGCACATCGAAACAAAGACGGTGTCATCCAACTCTCGTGGACAAACCTAGAAATAATTTTAGAAGGTTGACAGATTGTGAGTGTTTTGAACCCCTGCGAAAGATTGGGAGAAGTGTAACTAGAGATTATTTACCATCCTCCCAAGTTTACTGATCTCTGTCGCCTATGTCGATAAATCACAGCAAGGTCATGGTCGAAAGGCGGTAAGACGGCTATAAGAGGTGTCTTCGTATGATAAAATGGCGTAGTCGGGCCACACGATTTCGTGGACGTATTGCTGGAGTCGACCACTCCTGTGTCCATCAGAACAGGCACACCACTGACAACGGGGCCTGTCGTTTGAGACATCAGGTCCATTGATGTGGTCATCAAAGTGTTATTTGTCAGCGATACTAAGGGTGTAAAGTTGGCCGGTATCAGACCGAGCATCGCGAGTGATGTTGTCAGCGCTTGCATGGGACTTGTAGGCATTTTCGATGATTCTGAAATGATAGAGGAGGAGATGTTCTTCTAGAAGAGCTTGGTAAATATGGATTTGATTCGTAGGTATCAGGACTAGTGAAGTTTGAAATATGTGAAGAATGATTAGTGAGAGTCACAGAGAGCAGAGCAACTGGCTTTTATCCTTGATCCCAATGGCGTCCCTTTAGGCGCCCCCCCTCACACGCCATCTTTCAGGACGAGATATCGACCAAGCCAGTCAACAGATCGAAGATGGCGGGAAGAGCTGCAAATATTTACACATTTTTACGTTGAGTATCATTTAAAGATGGACCATGATGAGAGACATGGCTTATCTCATTGGTCTATTCCGCGCAGACTTCCATTGTAGTGAGCAGTGGAACTTGAAAGCGACGAGCAGTACGCGACGGAATTGCTCACCATGCGCGCAACATCTCTGGTGCACAATCGTGTTTTCAGATTGAGTCGGCTGCTCCTCACGACTTTGTTGTTTATGAACTCTTTAGTTCTTTCGGTTCCTGGTTGTTAGAATTGCACACCATTTTGATTTCAGATTCGACTTGTTACAAACCAGTGGGGTCCGCCGGATGTAAAGCCATTCCCCGGTGCCCTAGAAAGATCACTCTCACAGCAACGAGCATCCGATAAGCCAGTCACCCATGAGCTAGACATAGTTACTCTGAATGCATTCAAAACAGTCTCAAAATTTTATTCGCATCTCAGGACCCCAACGAGAATTCAGACGGAGGAATTAAGTTAGCCGGATGGAAGTCCACTGTCCATCAGTCTTCCGTGCGGGCGGAAGCCATACACGGGCGAGAGCGGTCGAATAGCAACGTTAATAGTTCATCTTTACCGAGCAATCCGGCGGTCAGCGTGGTATGCCCTACCCCTTTTATCTCATTTAGAAAGTGATGCAAAAGAACGTAACGCGGCTGGTTTGGTTGTCTTCTTTGGGGCTGCGGTGTCCTCATACAAGACTTTCAGTCATGTGACTGGAGTGCACTTCGAATCCTACGACAATCTCGGCGTGGTCAAAGAAACAGAACACGAACGATTTTAGCTGTTGTCTTGCTCAGCAATGTAGCGACTGGCTCAGTCATAGTGTACCGTAATCATTCGGCTGCCACGACGCTGTCTGACGGTAGCGTAACAATCATATCCTCTTTGATGTTAATGGAGAGCCACTATATAGTGTCTCCCTCTGTTGGCTCCTCGCCGTCTTTCTTCAGCCTCATCATCCCTTACATTTTCAGCTCAATTTGTTTTTTGACGCCGAGCGTTTTTCATTTGACCAACCTCTATATATCTTCCATCTGTTTTTGGCTTTTTGTTAGGATTAATTTCCATCAAACGTCACTTTCTGCTTCGTATTAGTTTTGTTTAATCGCTTTTTTTAATTAGAATTATCACTGTGATCTTACTTTGATACTTTCCGCAAAAAAATCGAATATGTACTCTGTCACTTTGATCTTTGTTCTGTTCTGCTTTTCGGTGTCGGAGCTTCCGCAGGCGTTCTCAACCCCCACGCCAGAACCACAATTCAGGGTAAGTCTCTCATTCTTTCTTCTCAGTAGATCAACAAGACTCATACGGCATACTAAAGCTCCCTTCTTTTTTTTCCGTCACAGTCAGTAGATCTCATTCAAAGAACTCCATTTTTCTCCCCTGGTGGTGAGATAGGTGGTCTTCAGGGTGCTAATTTATATTCCAATAGCCCGTTAGTCGGTGGTATCAATCCCGGCCTTGGTCTTCCATTGGGCGCTGGAATTGGGCCCGTGGGTGCGTTGGGCGGGGGAATCGGATCCCCCCTTGGTTTAACGGGCAGTCCTGCATTCGCCAACAACCAGTATGGACTACCTATTAACCGCAACAATTTCGTAAGTCATATTACCTTTCCGCAAGACCTTCCTGATGACTCACTTCATTTCTGCTTGTAGGAATCGAGCGGATTCAACCGTGGCGGCAACGGATTTTCAAACGGTTATTTCGGTGCCGGCTCAGGTTTTCAGTCGCGAAGAAGTCAAGCATCACTGTTGATCGCTGGTCTTGGAGTGTTTAATTTGATGGTTCTATTAGTCTGAAGAAAAGAAAAGTCATACTTATAAAACCTTTTTGTTGTATATAATTTGCATCACTTTGGCTTTTCCTTGTGTACATACGGAATTTGCTTGTTTATTATTCATCGACCATTCTTCTTGTCTATAAGTTCCAACCAATCTTACCTTCCACATCTTGGGACAATCACTTCATTTGCGTTATTTATCCTGAAATTCTTAATGTATAAACCTTCTTATCTTCCACACACGTCGAAGACGGTTGCCAATTCCCTCGTATATGTCAAGCAGCAGCAATGATCTGGCCCCACACAAGCCTCCATTTGCATCTTTAATTGGTTAGCACCGCACTCTACTCAAACCATTCACCTATAGCTATTGATGCATGTCATTCAATCACAAACTACGCAAGCCAACTGTCTCAAGGAATCCTGAAGGCAAAACCTGCATTTGATTACATCGGGAAAGAAGATTCTAAATTATCAGTTGCAGTGTTGAACGGACAAATAGACGTGTGATAGACACTCACATTGATAGTAGTTGGAATGAGCTGAAGTCTCTTTGCACTTGGTTTGAATTAGCCCCAACTATGCGAACAAAAGCCTCTGATAGGGTGCCTAGGGTTAACATTGAGAAAAAATCCAGAGATGTATTGGTTATGACATCATACTTCTGAAGAAGTCATCTCTCCGAACTCCAAGTGCAGTAGCACACGGAAGTGAATAATGTATGAATTGTTGATTGCGGGCAATGATGATAGGCGGCCAACATATACTTTGTAGTCGCAAGAATTCGCTGGTCAATTTAGTGACTGAGCAACCAACACCAGAAGTTTTCACGTGGTACAGATAAGACATACAAAGGATACAAATGCTCATACAAATAATTCGTGTAACAATCACAGCATGCGGATGTTTTTGTCAGACCAACTTTTGTGATGCCGAAGAGGATTTGATTTGAGGAGTTCATAATCGCATTGCTCTGAGCTCCCGTCAAGTTGCTCAGAAGGGTCACCGAGTCCGAGATGCCCACTTAGCATCCCAGCCACTTTGGGAGACACGATAGATACAGGGAGTGGATCAGACTGGGGCACAGATTATCACAGAAATCAGCCAGTATTCGAAATGAGCTTAAACCGACGGGTAATAGAACAGAAGACAATACAGAAAGAACTAACCACGTCTGAGTCTTCGAAAATTTTCATCTTTGCTGGGCGAGGAGCCGCAACTCCGGATGATGTTGTAGCTTTCATGGGAAGCTTCTGCCCCTTCCAGGCCGTTGGCTCCACTGTGTTTTGTTTCCGGTTACTCTCCACTGTTCCAATATCGTCCCAGCGAGTGATCTGGCCTGGAATACTGGTTTGGTCGGATACGCCGTCTTCAAAAATCTTCATCTTACCCTTCACAGGTTTTTTTGCAAGACCTAGCTTTGGTTTTGGAATCGAATTCGAGGAGCTTTCTGTTGACGAGGGCGGATGGTCAAGACTGGCTGCCAGCTTCCGCTGAACATCTTCCAATCGAGTCGACAGTTTTTCAATTGGAGATGCTTTTCGATCAATACCGAGTCGTAATACGTATCTAGCCTTTTCGTAATCTCGAAAGTGACATAAGACCAACGAGAATTCATCGTACAAAAGACTAGACTCTGTACCAATCTTTTTGTGTAACAAAAAACTGAAGATTGTTCGTGCAGCTTCACGTTGAACTTGATGGGAATAGTAAATCCATAGTTTGAGATACCGCAGGTCTTGTTGATATCGTTCATCAGTGACAAACTTTCGAGTAGATCGCTCCAGGATCGGTATCAGTTTTGATTCAGCTGTAGTCCCACCCGATGGATATGATTCGATGATCCAGCGGACGTACCTAGATAGTTGATGTCAAACTTCATCAGCCGATAAACCCATACAATAGCAATCAACAGACCGATGCTGTGATTCCCAAAACTCACTCGACATAAATCTCGAGGGGATCTTTGATCAACTCCTGCGCTCTTTCCTTGCCATCGAAGTCCAGATCATTCGATTGCCCAAGCTCGGCCTTCTCCAAACGCTCTATATCTTTCTGAAATCTTTGATGACCACTCCGAAGATTTTCAGCCAACGCAATGGGGTTAAAAGCATTCGATAAGCCTTTGGTTGTTTCCGTTCGAAATCCCATGGCTGAATGAGAGTCGGATGATTTGGTCTGGAATAAAGACGTCAGTTGAGCTGCTGATCTGCCTGAAGCCAGTGGCTGAATGTTTTCTTTCTGATTTTCTATCGCACTGATGTCCACTGAGACCGTTTCCGGGGAATGCTCATTATCGTCCATCTTGCTTGGGCCTTCTCAGATAAGATGATTTTTGCGTGATATTGACTGGTGAGGTGATTATAAAGTAATGGGTGTTGAATGGGAAGCGCGACTGACGCTACAAACTTCAAACTTCAAAGAGGATGAGATGACCTGTATCAACTGCACGTGACCAGCGCGACTCGCCCTCCAAAACTTGATATTAACATATTCAGCGAGGAATTATTGCAGAGGCACGCAAGTGGAGGCATCTGCAGCATGCTCTGGTTTGTCTACAACCTCACTTCATATGGGGGTTGGGATTCACGTGGTGGGCGCGGGGTTTGGATGTAGGGCGCGCTCGGCGCGCCTTTTCAAACCTTCAAGAGGCGCGCCTGTGGTGGGGGCGCCAAGGCGCGCCTTTTGAGGCTGCAAAATCGAAAAACGATCAAAAAAATTGATAAAACAGCCTTGAAAAGTGTTGAAAGGGAGAAGAAATGAGCATTTCTTGCAAATTCTTTGTGCATACTTCGATAAACAAGAGTGAGCAATATAAAATCAAACAAAGAGATCATTTTCATCCCATGATTCATTGTCGGATTCAGAATCCACCACCATTACATCTGTAAAGGCCTCATTGGAATTGGAATTATTGAAACAAGTGATGTCAAACAGTGATTTTGGACATAAGGAAACCCGTCCATCTTTTCCCAAAGCTTGAAGTCGGTGGAATCCACTCGGATGATGTCTTGGTTGTGTCCTTTGGCATGATTGGAGGTGATGGGTGTGTGAAAAAGGGTCAGAAAGTCCAAGAACTGACAAAAAGTTCAAAGCTGGTTGTGGGGCGCGCCCACCCCATATTTCGACTTTTCAGGCGCGCCCCCGCGCCTGCGCCTGGGCGCGCCCAAAAGGCGCGCTTTTCGCGCCACGCCCACCACGTGAGTTGGGATCCTACAGAATCGGAGAACACACCAACGAGAGAGCACCAATGAAGATAGTTCATCACACTATAAATAGCCAGGCTTTTTACTCTAAATATGTGCATTCTGTTCATGGTGGAATATGAGGTGCTTAGTGATACCCAAAGCACATCGTGAAGACTTTAGATACCGTGTATCTTGACTAGAAATGATGCTGAGAGCTTGGTGAAGGATAATGCTTTTTATGGTGATTCTTATACAAGGATCATACCCACAAAACTTGTACATTCAAAAAGCTTTCAAAACAATGCAGCTCTTCTGAACTCATTAAAGCCCCACACTGCCTCTTGTAAGCCCAGCTCTTTGTCTGATTTGTATTTCTGGTACAGATGCTGCAAACCTCACTTATTATATAGGCCTTTTCCCTATTGCATTCTACCAACCAGAATAGCTCTGGAGCAGTCACCAGCTGACCAGCAGAAATGATAAGTACATAAATTACACTAAAATTACAACAGAAAGAAAGTAACACTTGTCTTCACACAAGGTCAAGCTATTGATCCTGGTATGGGGCCTAGCATCCATGGACCCATATTGTATACATACATTGGGTATGACCAATCTTGCATGGCTCAATATGTTTTTTCTAGTGTGAAAAGATGGTGCATCTTGACCTACGCCGACTCCATACATTGTGGATTGATACTTGTTTAGGCCTGCATACATTTCACCAAAGTCAATTTAAACCTCATACAAATTACAGTCATGAGCCACAGCCCAGTGCCATAGCTTTCAAAGTCAAACAAGTGACCATTTTCTACATCACCGCCAATACTTGACTTACAACCTCTCTTTACTCCTTACTTTGATACATACTTACTTATTTCCTTGGATTGCTGGCTTTCATTGATTGGCCGGGGGTGACTATGTAAAGGCAGGTCCAGGAATCAAGCTTGAATGCTAGATTCCAAGCACTTTGTGACTTATTCACATTATCAGCATGAGCATTTGGGTCAGTGAACTGGTGAACCATATGTGCCAATCCTGCACCAAAAGTGATTTCAGGCTCATCTAGACTACATTGTAATGCAAGAATGAATCAGAGCAATAGTGACTACACTGATTGAGATATAGATTTAAATTTGACAGTACTAATGATGGATAGACCTACAAAGAATATATGGTAAGACTCTTACAAATACAATTAAAGTTGAATACAAGTTACCCAGACGTCCCAGAATCAATAAATAAAAGCCAATAGCTATTCAGATGAAGACTTCATTGTGAAATCCATCTTATCATCAGAAACCGGTGAATTTGGTACAAGCTTAGGTTCTAACTTCATCATCTCCATCAATCTAGCTACTTCAGTTTTGATATCTTGAATTTCGTTTGTGAGTGATAAAACTTTTTTATCTCGAATGTTTCTAGAATGAGCTTCATCACCTAAGAGCCACATCATTTTCATCGAATGACTTAAACTTAAGAGTGAAGTACATGATCTAACTAAAGTTTCTGATCTTAATTCGATGGCTAAACTGTCTTGTAAAGATCTGAGTTTGTCTACTGGTCCAACCTATTGAAAATTCCAAGAAGTGTAGAATGTTAGAAAAATTAAGAAAAAGATAACAAGATAAAGTGAAGTTGACAGAAACCAATCAAGAAGACTAACCATAGATAAATCAATGATCTCTTCCATTCCTTCTACTAATGTTTCAACATCTCTATCCACAATTCGATTCATTTCATCTTCCACAGTTCTTAAGAAATCATGACTTGACATACTCATGCCTTCGTTGGGTCCTTCTGCTGTTGATTTGAGTGCATTGGTAGTTGTAGATAGATTGGTACGACGACGTACATCGGTTTGAAATCCGCTGAGTTCTTTTTCTGGAATTGACATTTTGATTTTGATTCGATGTTTGGTTTTTCAAGAAGTGATTGAGATTGACTGGACTTGTTCTGTTGTTGAAGCGAATCCAAAAGAAGTTAAGAACCAGGTACGAGCTACACGCGGGGAACACTGTAAACCCATAGCAGGCAGTAAGTATGGCTTTAGAGTGGACAGACCAGAATACCCATGATGACGGTTGAGTTAACTGGATAGCGAGTTCACCACTTCGAAATTCAAAACTCGATCGAAATCCACAAGAAAGAAGCAGCCATGTCTAATCAAGGTTATGATATCCCATCACCATCTCATGCTGCACTAACAGTAGAACCAGATTCAGATGATGAAGATTTAGTAGCGATTCCTCAATCAGAAATCAATCAACAACCAAGTCAAAAATCATTAAATGTAGATAAAGGAAAAACAAGAGCTAATCCAATAAGTCCTGTTATCCTCACACCTAGTACTTCTACCAACATACCACCTACTTTATCAGGTCAAATTGGTGATAGTAATCGATCTACTGGAAATTCCGCTGGTTCTTCAAGACCTCAGCGTCATGCTATTGGTGGGATTATGACGGAATCGAGATATGGATCTGGGCTTAATACGCTTGATGAACCCATCAGTGAAACCATTGTCAGTTTGAAATAATGTCTTCTTGTAATCTCTTGTCTCTTTCCAATAAGCAGTAGATATTATCGCGTGATTAACTTACTAATGTCAGAATGTTTTTGGGTTTGTGTTTGAGGGATATTAGATGAGAGACTTATCAGCCATCGGATCTAAAATCGTCTTGATTCTTTATCCATCAGGATCTTCAAGTTCAAAGGCAGTTTTGAGGGATTGGGATCTTTGGGGTCCGCTTGTGGCTTGTCTTGGTTTAGCTGTTGCACTTTCTATTCACGGTAAGCTTTGTTTTATATTACATCAACTGAAGCCTTGTCAAACAAGTTGCTAATGAATGGTTACGTTTATATATGTCTTTAAATAAAATGACTTTAAACATCAAAAGCCCCACCCCAACAATCTTTATCAGTCTTCACCGGTGTATTTGTGATTGTTTGGGTTGGAAGTTTGGTGGTAACCTTGAATGCCAGACTATTAGGTGGTAGAGTTTCATTCTTACAATCACTCTGTGTATTGGGTTATTGTCTCTTTCCTCTCTTCATTGCTGCTTTAGTGGCTTTGTTTATTCGTTGGTTACCTATTCGAGTCTTACTTAGTGTATTGGGTTGGGCTTGGAGTGTTTGGGGTAAGTCATCTTACTCATTTATTTCTAGCTTTTCAGTGCGATTTTTTCTGACTAATCTGATGATGTTCGGATTACCTTACTTTCCATGAACATATTGATAGCCGCGATGAATTTCTTTGGTGGGACTAGATTAGAAGAAGGTAGAGCTCTTTTAGCAGTTTATCCGTTGGGTTTATTTTATGCTGCTTTAGCTTGGATCACTATGCTTTCTTGATTTAATTGAATTGAGCGAAAAAAAAACTCAGGAATTCGTTTTAACTTACATTCTTACTACATCTTCAACTTTCAAAAGAAACGAGCTTTCTTAATCAATCTTAGTCTCCAGTATCAGGTATTAGAAGTGGTCAATGAGGACTAGGTTGGGGGTTTGAAGAGTTATCAAAATTGTGGTGGTATACAAACTCACTTGACATTATCTTCTTTCAAGTTTTTGACGTCTTTTCCAGTTTAGATTCCCAGTGTATTGTTTTCTTTTTTTCTTTTTGATTTAAATTTAAATGTTTATTCCACAAATGAAGGCAATCGATACGATTAGGATCTTTAACGCGTGGAGCTTGCGTATGGAAACAGAGAGATTAGCTCACTATTGTAAATACCTTTGGATAAGATGACTCCTTGATTGCCCATATGACGTCTGAGGGCAGTTCGAATTGAGATAGGGTGAAATACTTGCCGAATCATAGCCCGTGTATCAAAACACCCAGAGCCTGAGTAATGGATCACCTTTTGCTTTGTAAGATTTGATCCGATCACCGATCGAGTTCACATTGATAGAAAAGAAGCTATCAAGTGTGGCACACTTTGAGAAACACTTGGCTACAGTTGAGTATGAATTCTCGGACATGCATCTATACTGATGATACTCCCTCACGATTGATCGTATAGCACGGTCAATAGGAATAAAATCTCAAAAGCATTCTCTCGAACGCTGAGTGGATGGGTCAGTATAAAACACAGCTGTGTGATGGTCATGCTCGTCCCATGGGGGCAATGTCCAATGAATTCGATAGTACACACTCACTGATTAACTTTACAATCCTACAAAACTGATTTACAAAGACTCTGCTAACATTGAGAGAGAAAAAGGACAGGCTGAACACGGCCAAAGAAACTTCCATAAAACCGGTCATGAGAGTTACAAAGTGTCATCATCATAAAGAATCTGAAAAGGAAACACAAAGAAAATGCTCCAAAGAATCCTTCACATCTTCACCAATCACTAATTTCTGCAGAGGTCGAGAATCTTTCTTGAGGTTCTTGCGCTTCGCCCCACCACGAGAGACCATCAATCTTATCAGCCAACTCGTCTCTAACTGAATTGCTGGCTTTGTCATCGTATGTCCAATCACTAACTTCAATCTCGAGGCGGTCGGTCGATTGTAAGAAGTCACCAGATTCCGATTCATCTGAGCTAGAGCCAGCTGGTGAGCCAGGAGGTGCCAAATCCCAATCTACTACCACCGCATCAAGTCCACGCCTCGTCTCTTCAATTCTTAAACTCCATTCGCCTTTGGCCTTCATCAAAGAGTTTACTAAGGCGTTCACATGTCCACCACAGAGCTCCGGAATTCGAGCATGAGTAAACCAAAGTTCGCGAAGATCCACTGAGATGCGCGATGAGTCTTTGAACACCTCTCGGACTTCATCCAAGATCACGTCCGAATCTGAAGGCTTGTCCGCATGAGCATTGACCGGGTGAACAAATCTACCGAACAGGCGTGGCGGCGGACCAGAGCTAGATAGAGTGGCAAGTTCTGGTTCAGAGTGGGCTTGATCAAGAGATTGGTTAGATTCGGCCGTGTGATTTTTGCGAAAGATGGCACACTGAGTCGCGAAGAATCGATCAGGTTTGGAAGGTGGGGTCTCGGTCGAGTTTGATTCTGAAGACCTGGGAGGTAGAGCAGAAGTTGGAGAAGCGACCACCTCAAAGGAATTCTCACCACTTGAGGGTTCAGAAGGACAGTCCATAGAATAGCGTCCAAAGTAATTTGCATGTGAACCACAACCAGTGATCTCAACATCGTATTCGTACTCTTGACTAGTTTTGTCGCACCAGCCCTTGAATTCATCCTCAGTCCATTCGAATTTATGATCGTCATCTCTAAAGATACGTGAGGTGCGGCCGGTAGGATCAGGGAATCGATAAGAGGCAGATTGAGGGCTCGATGTATCAAAGTAACGATTAAAGTCGTGATTGGGTGTCGTAATGACAATCACGCGCGGATTGTACATAGCGAAGACGATAGGGATGAATTTGTCAAAAACTTCCGGCGAGAGATGCTCGATCACTTCGCTCATCACAATGCAATCTACACCTTTGAAGTTTTTGTTGTAGTGGATGAGGCTGCCGTGCCATAATTCCACAGTGAGTGGCTCCCAACGAGATTGCGAACCGAAGAAGCTAGTACTGGCTTCGGGGGGTGGAGGAGCAACGCAGTGACTGGCTAGTTCCAAACGGTCCTCGCGTATATCGAGGCCAAAGATCTCCCGTAAATGAAGTTGCGTCTCATACAACAGCGGACTGGGAACTTGGCGGAGGAATTGGTAGAGCTCATGCTTATCCGCAATACCGATAGACTCATCATCCTTCGCAGAGCTTTGGTCAGGATCGCGAGAAGCTGGGCTGGCCCCCTCGCTACTTGGCGGTACCGAGGATTCGTGTTCGCTGGAGAGCGATTGATCGGGACGAGAAATTTGTATCTCGGGAGCGGTGGTAGTGCTAGTAGGAGCAGCCGATGATGTGTTCGGAGGGAAAGCATCTAGGTGAGAGGCTGGTTGAGACAACAGCCCCAACAAGGAACCTTCACCACATCCTAGTTCGGCAACCTAGGGAATCGCGGAACTGTCAGCCTAAAGTCTACAGCTACACGGCATTCATACAAAACGCCGAACAAAGGTTCTAGAGTGGTGGGTATGCTTACAGAATGGATGGATTCCTTTTTTAAAACTTCGACGCAGAACGTTCTACGTTGAGTGACTAAGGCTGGGAAGAATGAAGGGCCTTCATTCGACTGTGATAAGTAGGTGAAATCGCCCCTTTCGTTACGAGGAGACTCTGTATCGGACTAGAACGATTCAAAACGATTTGAGAATAAGAGATTATAAAAGTGTCAGTGTAAGAAAGAAATCGAAGGCAATAAAAGAGAGGAAGACATGTGATATATGAAATCGATCGTAACATTAGCGTACATTTTTGGAAGCTTGAACCATTGTATAGTAAAACTAGAAATCGAATCACACAGTCGAATCAAACAAGCGGAAAGTAAAATAATAATAAAATTGTAAATGGGAGTCAAGCGAAGTAAATCTGGAACACTGAAAGAAAGGGGTGTGGTGGAATTATAAATGTGAAGCGAACTCAGGTGAGCAGAATTTATGAAAAGGCACAAAAGATTTCAATACAGGTGACCCGCTTCAGTCGTTGCGCAAGTCATCCTGCAAATAAGATATCAACCTTTCAACCCTGTGCTCTTGCTAGCGAAAAGTGTGAATTCTCACGTAAGATATATCATGCAAATGATATCAGAAGTCAAGTGCATGAAAGGATCCATTGGAATGAATATGTAATCAAATGAAAGTGTTGAAAACAAGGACCAAATGAAGAAGGCATTACCTCACCGCACTTTCATTCAGCGTGAATGGTCACTGGAACAGGTGATAGCCGGTATAACCAGTGTGCCTCAGGTTGAGACTTACAGTCAGCATCCGTTCACTGACGATTTCGGCATCAGCCCAGCATAGTCTGTCATCAAAAATGGAAACCGCTAGGTTAGACTCCCTTTGCCGGACGTGTCAAAGAAGGCGGGTGTAAGACGTGCACCCGAATGCACGTACTGCTTCACTGTCTTCATAAACATTGATCGAGATGTTGGATGACGATGATAAGGTAATCATAACTTATCTGCAAATGGCTCAACATTCATGCAAAGCTGCCACTGCAGGCTCATTGTGAACGAGCTCGAAACCTTCCCAAATTCCTGCAAGTTCAACCACTATTTCGAACCGGATGATCACCATTCCATCGAAGAAGATGGATTGAAGGAAAGTCTTTACCAAGTCCGATCAATGTCAAAGGAAAGGACCCAAGGTTGTGCGCAACATCCTGTTTCAAGCTTTGATGTTGGTAGACGCACCCGTTTGACTCCCTCAGGACACGCCTCTGAAATCATCATTGCACGGTGACGTAGTTTGTTTCTTGTCCACGCCTTTGAGTAATGACTGTCTTCATAGCATAGAACCACATGCTGGACGCGAGCTTCAGCCTGTTGAGGAGGTTAAGAGTAAACCCAATGTGACATTATCAGTTACGGGTCTCCATGAAATGATGTTCTTTTTAGGGGATTTGTAGGAGTATTGGACCTTCTCTGTGTCTAACATCCGGTTGAACGGGGAAGTTGAAGGAGTAAGTGGCAATTTAAATGATCAGTTTGTTGACCAGAAAGTGGCCACAAAGAAGGATATACGTATTCCATAGTCATGAATTGTTACTTACCACTTGGCTTGAAATTCAACTCCTACGCTGACCATCGTCAATTCCAGCATCTGAATATCTGCCAACCTGCTTTTTCAGTTGCGCGAAGTTTCTCCAGCCAGTTCTTTTGCGATCTGATCCTATCTGATCATGCCACATTGACATGGGCAAGTTCAACTTACAAGAATGCCCTGTACTCGGATCGTTGTCGACGTGTGAGCCCCGCCCCGCTCCTCCTGACTTTCGTGTGAAATACACGGTCACCGGCACCGCCCTCCGGATTTCCATTGGAGATTGAACTTCACTGCAGCTGAGTCTTTTCGCCACTCCTGATTTTTTATTTTACTTGTACTCAACTTTTGCCATGGACGTGGCACCACCATCATTTGGACGCCAACTCAATGACCAACTTCCTCGAATACAAAACGCTGTCCAAGATCAAATTGCGTTTCTCGGTGATGTTAGAGACTATTTAAAGGAACGAGTGGCCTTGGAAAAGCAGTATGGTTCATCTCTACAAGTAAGCGTGGTCACTTTGCTCGAAGAATTAAGAATGATGACACTAAATTTCTTTCCGATCAACCAACAGGCCATCGTTAAAAAAGCTACGGAAAGGAGGATCAAAAGGGAGCAGATTATGTCCGTTGGTGCAGAGCCAAGTAAAGCTTGGAGTGGCTCTAGCAGGTAAACAATTCAATATCACTCATTCTACACAAGTCATCAATATCTAACCCTGTATTTTATCAGCACTCTTGATGCAGCGTGGTCGCGCATTCTTTCTGAAGCAGATGAAGAAGCTACGGATCATACCAATCTCGCAGAATCGATCCAAAATCAAGTTTGTGAGGTCTTAAAGGCAGCTGAACGCAAGAAAGAAGCTACGCGCAAAAAGGTCTGTATTTTGATGAGTGTCGATCGTCATACTGAAGCATATTACTTATCCTACTCCTTCTATATTTCTAGCACGTTGAATTTTCTACAAAACTATTATCGGAAAGAGACAAAGTGTATCATGACAAGATGAAAGTGAGCAAAAGTCACGTGTCTCCATAATTATCATCAACTGAAGCGCATCTCAATGTTGATAGGCTAAGCAACGCTATGATGATGCGTGTAGCGCGGTTGAATCTACTCGTGTCAAGCAAGGTCAAGCCAAAGATGAACGGCATTTGGAGAAGGCAGCTAAGAGCATGGACAATCACACGAACGAGATGCTCAGTAGCAAGAACGCTTACATCATTTCCCTACAAGTCGCCAATGAAGCCAAACATAGGTTCTATCAAGTCGATCTCCCAAGCTTAGGCGATGACTTCCAGGCTAGTTTTCAAATCAAATTAGTTGTGAGAACCGTGTGATTGATGTATGTTTATTGGCTCTATAGTCTCTTTGGTCGTTGACTACCTTCAAGTTGGTGTCCATCTTCAATAAGATTGCAGCATTAAACCAAACATACCTGGATGCTCAGCAATCGCACAATACACAGACGTTGGCCGCATCCGCTACCATCGATACTGTGACAGATCAAAGATTGTTCGTTGAATTCAACTTTCGGCCTTTTGTCGAACCGCAAGACTTCGTTTTCGAACCATGCCCTATATGGCATGATACATCTGATTTCGCTCTATCATCACCTGAACCAAAGACCTTACTTCAGAATAGGCTGGTTGAGGCGCGAGCCAAAGTTGAAGAATTGGAGCCATCGATCGAAGCTAAGCGGAATGAAATCTTGGGGCTCGAGAAGTTACGAGAGGCGTATGCACACAATGAGACGTTGGGTGACCCCGATGAAATTGTCGATAACCTTCTGGAAAGCGTTCGGCAAACTATCACGATGGAGACTCAGTTTACCGCATTACAAAAAGAGATTGAGGTCCTCGAAGACGCCTTGGGAGACGACCAAGGATGTCAACAACCTCACAGATTCAAAACTGCTAGCTTTGTCACACCTACACCATGTCATCTGTGTAAATCAAGTATATGGGGACTGGCTAAACAAGGTGTGACTTGCAAAGCTTGTTCGATTCATGCTCACGTCAAGTGCGGTCCTAAAGTACCAGCTGACTGTCCTGGCACCGCGCCACAACGAAATGGTCGAAGTCGACTTTCCATGGGGACGGGAGCTGGCTCAACATTCACTTCAGGTGCAGGTCAGTATCAAATTCCTCGTTAGACATTTAGCTTCTACAATTTACTGTATCCGCACAAGGTGACAAAGGTGTTTGTCTTACAGCTGCTGTCCCAACCTCGCCGAACCCAGGAGAACAGCAATTGGGTCGAGCGTCAACCGTGGTCCGCAAAACCTCTAATGCAGATGCTGGTTTGGGTCGATCGGCTACTACTTCTGCCCCGAGAAAGTCCTCGGTGCCTCGGCGTAACATCCCACCTCGCGAATCGGTGACCAAAGCTAAAATGCTATATGGTCATGAAGCTTCCACCCCATTCGAGGTTAGCGCTGCTGGTATGTTTATCCCCTGATCTGCTATTCCTAGTACGGTTCATCGACGCTATTTCTTGTTTTAGAATCGACTCTTGTGACGGTAATCACTCCAGATGATGGGTCAGGATGGATAAAAGTTGAAACTGAAGACGGTCGTCAAGGCTTAGTTCCTGCGACTTACGTGGAAATTATTCCTACCGAATCCCGCTCAGCTGGAGCACCACAAATTCCACCACGAATGAAACGAGGTCAGACCACTTCCTTAACCACTGTCCGTACATCTTAAATGGGCCTGACGAATGTTGATTTGACTATAGGCCTGACAGCTAAAGTTCTATATGATTGGGCTGCTCAAGCGCCCGATGAGCATAGCATTTCAGTTGGTGAGACAGTCACCTTGACCGAGAATGGCGAAAACTATGGCGAAGGTTGGTATGAGATCAACAAAGCTGGAAAGAAGGGGATTATACCGAGCAATTATGTAGGTGTTTTTTCTCCATCCATCGACTTTGACCGGTGAATAATCATATGAGAGTCTAACTAAATTGTTTGGTAGGTCGAAATACTCTGAATCTTCTTTTTGGTCTGTCAATACTTGAGACCCCACAGTTGGGCATCAGCGTATCTGTATGCAGAAGCAGATGTGCTATGTATATAATTCTTGATCGTAGCTTGTTGTAATTTCAGCGCATGTCTAATCATTTGAAGATGTAAGTGTATGAGAATACCTAGCTGCTCCTTAATGCCTCCCCACCATGAAGTTGCCAAAAAAATCTTGACACGATCCACCACCATGTAGGATGCCCTGTACTTCCACTGTCTATCCCGCTGCGGTCTTCATCTTGGTTCGGGAATCAAGGTCGTTTGTAGAAAAATTGCTTTGTTGTCCCGCTTTGACAGGTACAACCCCCTTTGCCTTCCTCACGCAACATATACATAACCTCACGCGACCTCTTTGCTTCCTCTGCGGAACCCGGCTTTTTATCTATAAGGGGCTTTGGAGTCATCAGAAAATGATAAATGAGCTACGTATACAACGACAGCAAACCCATCCCTATAAATACCAGAAAAGGTCTAAAATCTGAAACCAAGACCTTGATCTAAAGGCTCCAATCGTAGCTGGAATTCAAAATGATTCAACTGTGCCATTAGTGACATGGAACTGCTTTGCTTTTTGAGGTCACCTATTCGCACGGAAATGTACAGACATCAGCCAATATCACATTTGATAGGCAATGTGGAGATAAGCATAATGTTTTTACAGCTTAGTGGCAAATTCTTTATGGAACCGCCTTGTAAAAAGATGCACAAGTCCCCTTCTGATGAAGTTCAAACTTTATTTCCAAGGAGACATTGTATTCACCCCTACCATCAAATGGACAAGACAGACCCCTAATCCTTGCAATTCTTGTACCAATTTTTTAAAACAAACAAATTCAAAGCCAGATCACAGCATGTCCCAAGGGTAGGCATTTGATGGAATGTGTGCATAAAATTCATCTCCTTGGGATTGAATTCTGAATCTCATGGGATGCACATTCTGTGGATGGTTTGTTTCTTTTGCTGAGCTGTGCCATCACTATACAACAGAAAATGTACCAGTGGGCCTCACTCTTCCTCAGCATCACATGATTTTTCTTTGCACAAAGCATTAAAGCAGCATGGGAATTCAGGTGACCGTCTTTAATTCCACAACACTCTGTACCTGGGGATTTAAGTTGAGGCTGTCATGATCACAGGATAAATGTCGATGTTGACCACATATCACTGGCAGGCCTGCAATGCAACTCCAAATTGAGTTTCTTATCTTATTTGTAGGGCGAAACAGTGGCATTCTCCTATCTTGATAATGTTGGAAATGCATCAAAGACTTTTGCAACTTTCATGGATGGAAGAACAATTAGATACCGCCGAGTCCTTCATCAACTTCAAGGTGTGAGTATGGAGTTTTATAAGTTTCAAGTGTCCATTCAAAGTCGCAACTTTGAACCTTCTTTCACAAGCTGGACGATGCCTACATGATATATCTTGGAAATGGATGTTTTTGAAATATACATGTCAACATGAAAGCGGATTGAGGACCTCACAACCCCCTCAATGGAAAACTAATCCCACACAAACGTGTGCCACCTCCCACACTTGATCATCCATTCAGAAGGTTTTGATCTTGTTCCCATAACCTCCCCGACAATTTTGTTCAGCTTGAATTCTTCGACCATTTTTTCTTCTGGAAGACCAAGCTGCCCTAAACCATCTAGCATTGTAAGATTGACTTCAATCACTTATCTTTATTATGAGTTGAATATTCTAAATCATGGAACTCACTCGATCCTGACAGCCAGACTCCTTGAGACGTCAATGCAATAGTATGTTCACTACCACAGCAAGCCTGAACAACATCAATAACGTCTCCATTCTCTCCTGCTCCGCCAATGTCAACAAGTGTGGGAAATGATAGATCACTGGCAGTTTGTCCACATTGACCATTTCGATTAGATCCCCATGTATAGAGAGTACCATCATTGCTGAGAGCGAGGCTATGAAAGGCACCACAATCAACATATTTCACATTTTCTAGCCCTTCTATAAGCTGTGGGGTATTAACTGGAGCTGAATGGACTCCGAGCCCTAGCTGACCCAGACGATTATCGCCACACGAGAATACCATTGAGCGGTACCCATCATTATCAAGCTCATCTCGATTGTGAACCAGGATGAGAAAGTGACCAGCTCCGGCGGCGATATTGACTTCCGTAAGAGTCGAGTCTAGATCAGGGATATCAAGAGTGGTGCAAGTTTTTTGGCCCGATTTTGAAGGCCCCGCGAGAAGTGAATCGAAGGAGGGCCAAAGCTCTAGTTTACAACTATAAGTGTCGGCTTGGCTTGACTGATCTGTTGGTAGCAGTGGTGCGAGTCTTACTTCTGAAGTCGGTGCCGCTAAAACAAGGCCCGTACCGCTGATGGCCACAGCTTGATACTGTCTACAATCTTCAGCCGAGATTTTTGTCGAGTGAGGGGAATCATTGTGCCGATGTATGCACCCTTCAGTATCAAGATAGCCCAATACTTCTTCGCCCCCAATCCATTGTTTGATATTGATCAACTGAGTTGTAGTGGTACCAGGACGGATGGCGACACGATCCTGAGTATGATCGTATCCCCAAATTTGAATTCCAGACTCACTGCCCTCCGCTTCCACTAGACTCTTCCAGATGATTGAACCTGATCAGCATCAAAGACTGTTCAAAGGCGAATGGCTGAAGACTTGGCTCACCTTCTACAATCGTTTGACAGTCTGTAGCGCTAGCTATTTTCGAAAATTTAACGCCCGGACTGATTGGAACCAATTGAGGTTCATTGATACGTTTGCTTGCTTTGATATCTGAATTGGTCTGATGAAAGAGATTTGAGCCGAATGAACAAAGTTGATGTTGTACGCGGTTCATGTTGTATGGAATACGTGTAGACTCATACCGACATATAAACATGACATGGATTCCACATGTAATTTTTCCATGTCATGTTTGGTCAAAATTCATCTCCAAGCCAAAAACCGTCCGACATGACTCATACCGACACACATTGACATGGATTTTTGATTCAAAAAAACCGTGTCGTAACATGAGTCATTGCGGACGGTCTGACGACCGAAAAGTGTCATGCCGACAAAAAACATGACACCATATCACATCTAATAGATTTACCGGTTCACCACCGGTACATAGGTTTCAATATATGGCCTTTGTCTTTATATCCACTCTTTTTGCGCTTCTATCAGATTGTATCACTAGAATTTGGCACAAAACAACATAAACTATCTATTATCATAGTTCATATTACCAATATTACCACAACCCCTTCGTAAACATATTCCTTGAAGATGTCTAGTGTCTGCAAAAAATGCAACATCAACTTAGTCGAACAACAATACACACAATTGAAAATGTGTGAAGACTGCCTCAAGAAGCTTAGTGATGATGTACCAGCTGTCGCTAACAAGAACAGTCAACTCTCAAGTGCTTCTGGAAATCATGCATTTAATAATCACATATCAGTAGCAGACAAGAAGAAGGAATCGCAGGCACTTCGAAACCGCTTTGCTGCAGTGAAATCACAGGAACGTCAAGGCCTCTCACGTCTGAATCAATCAGCCTCATCTTTGTCTTCTTCTTCGAACCAACCAACCACATCAGCCACTCAATCATCATACACTTTCACTGCTAAGCTCGCAATGTATCACCATGGCCGTATCAGCCGAACGTTCTTTCCTCATCATGCAGCAAACATCAAACTTTTAATCACTGAAGAGGAAACTGATCATCTTCTCTGGATCAAAGCTTGCCGTGGAATTTTTGAGCAGTTTTCTAGTTAAATACGAGAAATAAGGAACAACATTCCACTAAACAGCATTTAGTCACAATGTATTTCATTTTGAAAATTCGAAATTCAAAATGAAACTTTTAAACACAGCTCTGGTCTAAAGTCCCTTCTGAATCGCCAACTCTCCCCACCTATCAACTCAAACATTCCATCTTTCACTTTTGTTTCTTTGGGTAAGTATTTCAACTCCTCCTATCTTTCAAGTACCCACAATATTTAACTTCTTTTGTCTTCAATCAATTCTACCTAAAACGATTAGGACAACTGAAATTGAACCAAAGGAACCATCACGATTCAAGTTTCCCCAAATCACGATTTGATTTGACTCAAATTTATTTGGTTCATCATTGAACTGTTCTCTTCTTCATGTATAGATAATTTCATTGATTGGTTCATCAACTTCACATTGACTATTTTTGTTTTTGGATCAATAGTTCTTTTAGTGATTAGATATCAAAACATTATCTCAACCTAAATTAACTAGATTCGATCGTTTCCTTTCGATTCAACGATAACGAATCAATTCCTTTTGATTTAACGATAACGAATCGTTTCCTTTTGATTTAACAATAACGAATTGTTCCCATTTGATTGAACAAAAACAGTTCGTTTTGATCTGAAATCCATCGTTTTGATCCGAAATTGACCGTTTCCCTTTTGAAATCAATCGTTTTGATTAGAAATCGATCTTTTCCATCCAAAATCAATTGTTTTCAATTTCTTCCATTTAGATCATGATGATTACGTGAGATCCAACTTGATACCTTCTTCCATGATGGTCAGATACCAGTACACGCAGAAGTCTCACAGGTCAATTTGATAGAGGATGGAATCAGATCTTGCATGTTCATTCTTCACTATGTGAATGCGGAACTACTTGATCTCCATTCCTCTATCAAATTGGTTTTGGATCATGATGATCTACGGTCCCTGCTGAGGTTCAACTGTACTTGTCCTCCCCAAGAAGACTGGGTTGGCTTCACGCACCAGACTCTTGTGGGTAGGGTTTGACGCAGACCTTATGCAAGCCTAATCATCATTATCCAAGTGTGGGATGGACACTGAAAGTGGGTTGCTATCTGACTGTAAGGGATCTTTAGCTGATGACCTTTTAATTTTGTCTTTTATTAGTGATAAGAAGAAATATAGATCTCCATCACAGAAACGTGGTCGAAAAAAGCTTAAAGCTGATCAAGTAGAAATTCGAATAGCAATCAAGAAAACCAAGATCATTGCTTGTTGGGTTCATCATCCAAATACCCCAACCCCTTCTTCTGATCAGACGTTGGACATGAATCGAGCTGAGAAACGAGCTCACATTCGTGCTGAATTTAAACAGAAGATCCGTGATCGATTTGGTCTTCCTAGAGATGCTACATTCATCTTTCGAACTGAGCATGGAAAACAAAAACATTTATCACTTACGTTTGGTACTGTAGTCTTATTGAATAAATATGGAACAAAGCTCCTTGCTGTGGTCCGATTCAACAAACGTCAATATACTGGAAAACGGTTGAACACAGGAAAATTGAAGTGCGAACTTGTACCTGAATGTGCAAAACTCTTCGAAAACTTCAACAACTCAATCATGACTTTATATCAACATGGAACTGCCCGATATCGCTGTGTGACAAATGGTGCAGCTGAAGCTCTGAAGCACATGAAATCTGGTCAGATGTTTGTGATGGGGTTTCGTGGTGGATATAGGCAGAAAAAATATGGTGGTGTGTATTTATTATTATTATTGTTTTAACTTTTCTATGATTTGGAGGAGAGTTTGATTTTATTCTTTTGGCTACTAGGTCCTTACGCTCTCAATCCGACTACTGCACACCTTGTGGCTTGAATGGAAAATGACTTACGTCATCAGATGTACCTTCCATATATCAATCACTTCTTAGTGGAACGATTTGCATCTCTATCCCTTGGTGCCTTTCAATCCAACTGTGAACGAGCTGCACAATGTCATGCACCATCCTGGGCATCAAAGTCTTTTTTCAAATCACCCAATGGACGTGTCTTTGGTTCCAATTTTGTTATCACACGTGATGAGTTTGCTAACAAGGTGCATGTTGATAACAATCACTCCGGCTATACCTTTGGATTATTTAGTCTGATTCATCGGGATACAGGTAGGTTGTATCGACGTGGTAGAACCTCAAAGCATGGCTATACTAAAGGAGCCCAATTTGTATTTCCTGACTACAATTTTGACATTAATTTTGATGGATGTGATGGAGCTGTTGAAATGGTTTGGGCATCAGACATCAAACACTACAGTACTCACTTGAAGACTTTTACTCATGATCATCAACCTATCAAGCCAGAGGATGCAAAGATAACCCAATTCGGATCATCTTGTCAAATTGCTAAAAGTATAGTTCAACGTCTTAACCAGCTTACTGACATGCGAGACAACAGGAGCGATGAAGAGTGGGAAATTTACCGAGAAACATTAGTTGAAAATTATGCAGACGAGTTGATTCGTAAATGTGATATGATAAAATGTCAGAAGCAGAAGGATGAGATGGAAGCTTTCAAAGCAAAATTGAAATCCTTGTAATTTCACTTTTTTTTTCTATTTTTATAAACAGTTTGTCTCCTTTTATCACATTATGAATCAGTGTTTGTTTCTTTTTCCGTAAACAAAAAAACATATTTGTCTCTTTTAATCAAGAACTAAAAAAACCATCCAAGAAAAGATGCATATAAAACATGAGTTTTCAAATAGAATTATAAAACATTCATCACAAAGTACCAAAAGAGTTTAGATCTTTTCCTTCAAAGAGAGTGCCATCCCAGTTGTGATCTACCAAAGCGTTACACATAAAACGAAATGCAACCCATATATTAGAGTACTTGAGGTTCTTGTGTGAGAGATTCAAGGTGGGCATGATGAGATCTGCAACCAATGAAAACCAGTCAGGTGTGTAAGTAAACAAACTATGTATCTCAGGATAATCTTCTAAGATTTGACTATCTATGTCTTCAGGGGGGACATGAATCAACCCATCATCCCCATCAAACAACTCAACAGGATTTTTGTAGCAAAAGTCAGCACTGTGACCACTGGGAAGGGCGGAGTGAGGATCCTTTCTACGTTTGCTCTGGTTGTATCGTTCGGTAAATAGATCCAACTGATTCTGAATGAAAGGAATCCACAAATAAAGGAACAAAAGCCTTCAAAACAAGTAACAGTCAGCTTTCATTCTAAAAGGAGTAGGAGTATCACTTACCAATCAAGTTGAATGTCAGGGTCAAAGAAACCAGCCTCGAGTGAATTAAAAAGTCTTTGAACAACACCACAATTATGTTGTCGCATTAATTGACTCCAAAAGCACTCTATTTTCTGGTTCCGAACTGATTTTGTAAACTTGTGTCTTTTCAATGCTTGTTCCTCTGGAATTCCGCCGTGAATACAAACAAACGCAGAGTGACTGGCTGCCATCTTCCCAGTCTCAGTTCCTCAATCAGTGTAAAGATACTGTGGTGCACCACCATACTTTTTAACACATTGAAGATAGTATATATCAATATGACGGGGGTCACTATTGGTGACATGTACAAAGAGACCCAGAATGTGGCAAGACCAAGCATTGATGAATCCATATATCCTAATGCCCCACTTCTGGAGCTTGTCATGACCGTCTGCCGGCCATATATGATTTGGACCTGGACACCTAAAAGTACGGCGAACTAGGACTCTTCTTTGCCGGCGTAATACTCCTTCTGGATCAATTTGCTCAACATTTCTGCAAGACGGTCTCTGTTTGTTTGTAAAAAGGTAAGTATGCATCTTGTCAGATAGATTACAAGGTGAAGAGCAGACCTATGAATGTGGACATTGTGTTCCTTGAGTAAAATGTTCTTGATGGAACGAATGCCAGCTTCTTCTCCATTTTCTGACTGGATATCGGTAACAAGCTGGCCTACCTCTTCTTCTGTGTACTTTCCTTTGTCAATATCATCAACCTTACGAGTTAGGTTCATGTCTTTGCAATTACAAGCTAAGGTTGATCAACTAATTTTGATATGATCCTCATTCTTCAAGCATATGAGCATCTCTTCGATTGATTTGCCTTCATGGAAGTGTTTGCTGATGGCATTACGTCTTTGAAGCTGTTTCTTGCGAAGGGGAGGCTGAGTTTTGTTGTGATTCAAATGTTTACGATGTCAATTGATTGTTCTCTCAGTCAGCCTTATTCCTTCTTTTGCAAGTTCATCTTGTATTTCTCGTATGGTGAGTCTGTTGTTGAAACCATTTTCCAGCACCAAGTTGATAATAGCTTTGTTGTTTTGTTGAAACGTGTTTTTTTGTTTTTTTTTTTACAAATTTCGCTTTTCTACGTGTAGAAAAGCGGTCAAGCAAAACGCGATTTCTCAAAATCCGGGCTAAGTGAACGCAGCCTGAGTGTTTAATTCTTTTTTTGGACTCTAAATTGAAATATTACAAAAAAAAACATCTGGAGTCATGTTGTGTTGGTATGAGACTTCCCGGACGGCATGATGTACGAGATGACTCATGTTACAACACGGTTTTTTTGAATCAAAAATCCATGTCGATGTGTGTGGGTATGAGTCATGTCGGACGGTTTTTGGTTCGGAGATGAATTTCGACCAAACATGACATGAAAAAATTACATGTGGAATCCATGTCATGTTTATATGTCGGTATGAGTCTACACGTATTCCATAATGTTGTGCTAACTTAACTAAGTCCCTCTCGGACGAACGAGTAGTCGAGACGTCCGAGAGGGACTTAGTTAAGTTAGAATGTTGTGACCGATTGCCCAATCGAAATCCGCTAAATGCCGTCCTTGAATCTAAATTCATGCCCCGGCTCTTTTCATGCTTGTGCGGATCCACGCTCGGGAGTGACACTCAAGCATTCGACTCAAGCAGCGTCATGAGCAAGGACCATCTGGAAGTCACCCAAAGGGCTTCACAAGTTAACTATGTCTTGTAGGTTATTCAAAATGCCTGCTCGATTGCCTTCGAACATAACCCCTTGCGGCGCTGCCCCCCGCAGGGATGCTTGGAGATTCCCTTGCCATGCGAGCGCGCAATTTTTTCCAGTCAACCTCGTTATATATATGTGTCTCTTGTTTCGACAAGTAGAAATATCTTTGGAGAATTTTTTTGTTAGCCTTATATGAAAGCCTCGGTTCTGGATCGGATTTTGCGAAACATCTTAACGGTTTGTTGGCTTCTCATACGATTTGATGAACGTTCGGTCGTGATGGAAGCACCACTTCGCCCGTACATGGCTGCTCAAGCTACGTTTTGCCATGGGTTCTCCACCTTGCCTGCGTTGTTTTTCTTTATCGACCGACATGGTGGAGCTTTGTTGTACGCATTGCAAATCCCGTTACTACTTCATGATTCTCCAGTGCGGACGGCTCAGCATCACGCTTACATATTTCGGCGTGCCTGTGAGCGATCAACAAGCAGGGCTCAAATCCTGGTTGAGAGTCAAAGCCCGGGTGCATCTGGTTGCGATTGAGACCAATTTCACACTTTGACTTTTTGTGAAATTGATATTTTCACGAGGATTGATCAGGATGTTATAGTCAATGTGATCGAAGTCTTCTCATTGGTTGGCATCGAGTGAAAGAGTTGTATGGATGCCCAAAAGACGCGTCTGATCGAACGGTTATCCTATTTACTTGACCTGAAAGATTTTTGGGCCATTATATACGCCGAGTTGTGAAATCAACTGAGAAATTGCTGAGGATTGAGATCGAACCAATTAGCAGCCCTTGAGTTCACGCGTTTGGAAAGGATGAGTGAAATTGGTCAAAGCATCAAGAACCGAGTATATAAACTGATTCACGAGCTGTTTCCTTTGGCCTCCATTCATCATCCTTACCATCTATTTCCAAACTCACATTTTCAAAATCTTCCACCAAAATCCTATCATCAACTTTCTAAACCCTCATCTCAATTATTCGAAGCTCTAAACGTCATCTTTCAAATATCCAACAATGTTTTCTGCTATACTTTCTGAAGCTTCACGGGCCCAGGTTGCTCAAGGTGCTCAATGGCTACTCGACGTCATGGGTGGTGCCCCGGTCTTGACTTCCAAAGTCAACTATAAGTTGTGTTTGGCGGTCGCGGTCTTCGTATTGATCATGGATCTCCTCAACAAAGTCTCACCCTCGTTCTCGAGCGATGTGAACAAATTCCTTGCTCGCGTTCAAGAAGAGCTCGATTACTTTTCACCATCAGAACTAGGACAATCACTGGTAAGCTTTTTTTTCTTTTGTACATTTTTGGCGTCCCGTTCAACTTCTGACATCTTGATTTATCTCCTCTTTCAGACTCCTTTACTCAGCACCAAGAAACACTCGTCAATTCTGCCTTACGGCACCATGGAGAAAAGTCCACGACAAGATGTCTCTGCGCCCTCCATCTCTGGGCCGTTTGTGAATCTGCATGAAAATCTTACCAAGATTTCAGTGCAAGAGAAAGCGAAAAACTATCATCAGGTTAGTTCTCATTACTGCGAAAAGATATATGGAAACTTTGTCTGATCCTTTGTTCATTACGACTTTCTTCTAACAGCGGATCAGGGAGCTTTTGAAACCAAAAGCGCGAAGCGTTTCCCCAACTTCCGCGCCACTCAGTCAAGCACCCTAGATCACGTTCACGCATCGATATATGCCCAACATTTCAGCTCTTCAGGTCAGTCTACTACTGCTAATGCCTCTGACATATCTTATGTGCAGTCACTGATCGGTAACCTGTGTTATAGATCATCCTGACTAGCTCGCTTCGAAACCAAACCTGGAGCATGCCACCGAGACAATCGGAGGAATTTCTAGCCAGCTGCAAAAAACAATCATTGCAACAATCAGCCTAGAACTAACGAAGCAATGCTTGATAATCGGACGCGTACTTCGACAATTTCAATGATCCCGCGCTTGTGCTCTACTTGCCCACGAATCTTGCTCTCGAACGCGTTCGGAGGTCGTGAATGATCGCGATAACCACCGTCATAGTATTAGTGCCCAGTGAATTATCATCTTGGCTGCAAACCATTAATCAAATCACACCGCACACAATTCAGATTCCCAATTCTCATTCACTCATCACGCATCAACCAAAGGTCACATACTCTACCCTCGCCATATCATCTAAAATCGTTTGGAAACATAGTCTTCATCTCAATCAATCTTACAATCCACCTTTCGTGATCCCTCACTTGATTGGTCCCAAATCAAATTCTTTGGCAGCTTCAAATATATTTTATCTCGTTGTGTGGTGCTTTGACCTTTCTTAGTTGCTTATCATTCAGTAATCTTTTTTCAGTAATCTCAGTTTCAATTTATTTCACATCTCTTTCTCACTTTTAATCTCATTTTTATCTGTTAGAATATCAATCACTTAAAACTCATTTTTGTATCTCATCATTGAGTTTGATGTTTTGATTTCCTTTTCTCTTTCTCTTTCTCTTTCTCTCTATTTCATTTTCTCTTTCTCTCTATTTCATTTTCTCTCTATTCTCATTTTCTTCATTTCTTTTTAATTTCTCAATTTTTTGCAACTCATTTCACATTTTCTCATGAAAGAGTCTTTAGCTTTTGTTCCAACAGTGAGTATAGTATCTCATAGATCTTTTGAGAACCATTTCAAGTTAATAAGATTATGTATCGGAGTGTTTCCAGATACCTGAACTCTTTCACCTTAGCGGAGAATTTAGTCACAAGTAGAAAAGTGAGAGATGTTTAAAACATCATGATCAGGTTTTGAGTGCGGTCATTTTTTTATGTATGGTATTCTCGAAAAAAACCTCTTACAATCTGGTTTCTCAAAATTTTGGTAAAGTATCCATGGCATGACTCTTCCAATTGAACTTGTACAAAACAGATTTAATTTCCATTATAGGTCTTCTTGGCATTGCCACTATGTATATATCAATCTAAATCAAATGGTATCAATAAAAATTAAGAATAGTAACTTTGTTTTTAAATATCACTTTAAAACATAATACAAGTTGGCCTCTAAGAAGAATATGATTGTAAGGAAACAAAAATTAGAAACTTATTGAAAAAATGAAATAAATATCAAAGTATAAAATCAACATCAAAATAATTAAGTAAACTGAAAAGCACGTAAAGACAGTTTTGTTATACTTCAATCATTTAAAAGAATTGAAAGAATCATCCATCATTTCAATCTAGCTCTCATGGCTGATCTCATACTACCTGAGTACAAAGTATGTACAAAAGTTAAAAAAAGATAACCGAACAACAGATGATACTCAGGGAAAACAAATGACCAGATCATCATCACGAGTTAAGACTGTCCAAAGGAATGCCAAAAGAACAATACCGAACTGAAAGATGATATAACCCATTAACCTTTCTAACTTCATTGATCCCACATCTCTATCAAAGGTATATCAAATCAAACCGCAATTCATCTTGAATCACCAGGTAATGGCATCCTAGTAGGACCAATCGTATCATCAGAAGCCGAACGAGATAGAATACGATCCAATCCGTCAACTGAACATGCACTAAGTTCTACAGGAGTAAAACTAGGAATCATACGACCATACGAATCAGAATGATCTGTAGCTTCACTTTCTGAAATCGAAGTACGAGTCACACCACTCTCATGACTATCAGATCGTTCACTAATCGAATCACGTATAGTTCCAGGATAAAGATAACCTAAACCGGTGGAGAAGCGTTGATTTGTAGAAACGTCTAGATGTGAACTATGTACAGCTGAAGGAGTTTGAGGAAATAATGAATCGTGTGTAGCCCAAGAAGATGGTTCAGGTTGATTCCAACTATCGTCGTGTGACATACTTTCAGGAAATGATGAATCTCGTTGATCGGCTCTGATGGTAGATTGGTCTTGAGAATGATGAGGATCTGGATAACTTTGATTAGCTTGTGCTTCCATAGCTCTTTCTAAACCAGTATCAGGAATATACATAGGTGGTGTATTTCCAATAGGTACTCCCGGTTGATGAACATATTGAGGTTGCATACCGATTCCGATTTCATGTTCATGATACATCTTAGGAGGTGGAGGTGGAGGTGGGTATTCTTGCATTCCCATCATTTCTGCTCTAGAAAAATTACCAAGATCTGAATGTTTTTCATCATGAGCTAAATTTGAATGATACATATTCGGATCAATCACTCCACGAGGTTGAACAAATTCAAATCCATTAGATTCTTCTATCCAATCAATGGTATTCTTTCTAGCTCTTTGTAATGGAATTGGTGCTCCATTATCATCATCTAATTTTCCAAATCCTACCATCCCTGACATTTGAGTTTGAACTTCTCTAGATCTTTCAGCATTGATTCGATGACGACGACGACGTAAGACCATTCCCATCACAAGGATCCATAATAAGATAAATCCAGCGCATGCGAGAAAGACGATGAATCCTGTTGAGATTGAAGGATGTGATGAAGAGCCTGATTGAGTCTTGGCAGCAGTGGCAATAAAGGTACTTTGAGCAGGTGATGCTGATGAGGAGGTATGTATGAGACCGCTTGCATTGGATTTGGTCAGTGATCGAATCCCTGTCGCAGATTCCGCACGGCTTGCTGGAGAAACACTGGACGTCGAAAGCGTCGAAGTTGAGACAGTTTTAGTCGATGACGGTAGTGGAGATGACTTTGACGTCACTGTGGTTGGCTGTGGCGCGGGAGCGGAAGAAGTCGCCGGCGGTGGCGTTGAGCTAAATTATAAGGAATTAAGGTCAGCTATACACAATGTTTTCAAGCACTTGAAAAATGTTAAACTAACACAGATGCCGTAGAAGTCGTAGAAGTCTGTTTGGGAGCAGCAGCAGCAGCAGCGGTCGCCGTACGCTGTGAATCACCTAGCAAAGTAATCGATAAGACATCTTGAACACCTTGTAAAAGATCTGTAGCAGGCTGCGAATCACCTAGGACATCATCTACAATCCCACCAAGTAATGACATAATCGTAAAGGATAATATATAATAGTTTTATAAAGAAAGATAATGATAGTTGTCAGGTATGACAGAGATAAAAGGTAGCGTAACTGAGTGAGTGAAGAATAAGCGTTGAATAATAGAAAGCAAAAGAAAAGATTATCTCATGTTATTGTAAAAAGTGGAGAAATCTTTACTTCAATTATCTTCGTACTTTGAATGAAAAAAAGTTTATTTTTCTTGTAAGTTTCATTTCATAAATAGGTTCACTCAAACGAGTAATATTGCTTGGGTTTATTACGCGCCTTGACAATTTGTGATGGGCTGAGAAATGATAGAAATGGAGTGCCCAATGCGAGGGTCAGTTGTGAGTGGAATTCGAGTTACCATGGGTTCGATTAGTGAATTGCTTCCCATCTTGACTTCTATTGATAAAGTTCATTGACTAGAGTAGTTCGATTAGAGCGATGAGACTTCTAGATTCGGTGATATGGTACAATGATCGACGCACTCACGCGCGCTTGAGGTTGGTTTTGCTCACATTTGAGGCAGAGGGAGCGCTGACGAATTCCTTTTGATCTTAAACCCACGGAGGAACGAATTGCGGGTCACAAATTGGGCTTTTCTTAATTTTGGGAATGAACGTCACGAGTTTGCATTTTTGATTTGTTTCTTCACAAGGTTTCAGGATTTATATTTCGAATACCGTAATAAACAACTAGAGTAAATCATATTACAAAAAAAATTAAATTATTAATCATGATTCTTATTTTCACGTGTTTTAATCAGATTCAGATTGAATAGGAATCGAACGATCTAAAATCATCTGAAGTTGTAATTGATGTGATTTCTTCGATTTCTCAATATCTACTTGAATCTTTTCCAACTTTTGTTTTAATCTTTCTTTACGATTTGAATCTTGTTCAGTAGGTTCATTAGAATCAGTCGGATCGCTCAACTTTCGTTTGTTAGATGGTTTGTGATCTCCTTTAAGGATAGCATTGACCGTCCAATGATTTCCAAGTAATGAGTTCATATTAGCATGACATGAAGTATATCTTCGAGCTGCTAGACTACGATTGTTTAAACTATCAAGTGGATCGGTGATCATCATGATTTCTTCATATCTTTGCATTTGCTGTTGGTGTTGAATCTGTTGTTGCTGTTGAATAAGTCTTTGAGATCTGATATGAGCTTGTGGATTCATGAGATGTTGTGCCATTTGATGTTGAGATGGTCTCATGATTGGATGACTAGGAGGTGGAACTTGATGTTGAGGAAGATTAGGCATTTTATTATAAGCTGGTTGATTAATGATAGGTTGAGATGGTGGTTGAGGATGAACTGATGAAGGATTGATTTGATATCCAGGTGGAATACTAGTTTGAGATTGTAAAAGTTGAGGATTAGGTGTAGGAATCAAATGACCGTGTGATGGATTATTGTTAGGATGTTGTGAATTTGATTGAGGTTGTGAAGATGGTCTTGATGGATGATGATAGACTTGAGCTTGATATTGTGGTGGTAAGTGATTGTAATTAGGATGAGATTGTTGATAAGGTGGTTGCTGAAACAGAACAGAATGATTAGTGAATGAAGTGATGGTTTAATGTTTGAGTAGAAATGACTTACTTCTGTTATTGGATGATTTTGATTTTGATTTGAAGCTGGATTGATGTTGGCCATCGTGTTCTGTGGTGTGGTGTGGTGTGGTGTGGTGGTGAGAGTCAGACTGAAGAGGAAGTGTTGATTCAGAGAGAAGCAGAGAAGTATTGGATCTATGGGTTTATCAAAAGTGTGATGATGGGTTTACAAGTGGTTCGACTACTTTCTCTTCAACTCTTTTCCAATTTCAACTTCAACTTCATCAAGACATTTTCTATCATTTTATCAAATTAGACACTCACTTCATTCACTTCAACTTCTCCCTATAAGGAACTGGAACACTTCACAATCAAACTCCAGCACTTGACGATATAAATCATGATCTCCTCTAATCTCAAACCCTCTCAAGGCTCGAAACCACAAGAAGATATAAAGAAAAATCAAGCAATCGAATCAGAGAAACAAAAACATTTAAATACTATCAATCTCCTAACGAAATTGGAAAAGGGTGAATCAATTGATAATCCTCAACTAGCTACCGAATTATTAGAAGATCCTCTGGACGTTTATCTTTTGTACGTCAGTTTTTCCTATCCCATACAATGCATCTCAACATATCAGTAGTAGAAATTCATTCTTCCATGACGCGTAGATACGTTCGATGGGCTTTAGATACATACTCAGCTGAAGAAGTAAATGGAAAAGAACAACTATTACCAATTCTTGAACAATCCACGAGAAAGTTTGTTAATGATGTGAAATATCGTCATGATCTTCGATACCTCAAGCTATGGGCTCTTTACGCCCGACAGTGTTCTCGTCTTGGAGCTACCAAGATTTATGAATATTTATCACGTAACGAGATTGGTATACGATATAGTATGTTCTATGAAGAATGGGCCAATGCTATCGAAGCAGCTTTTGGTGATCTCAAACGAGTTGAGCGCGTTTATGATTTAGGGATCCAATGTGACGCGCAGCCTATCAATCGATTACAGAAGCGAAAGAAGGCACTTGCGAAAAAAATGGCCGAATCATCTGCACCTCTTTCACAGCCGTCTGAGAACAAGTCTCAGCAGGGAGTCCCACCGCACGAGGTTCGTTCTCCTCCAACCTATCTGGTTCACGATCAAACTCTGTTTGACCATTTGAATCTATTCATTTCCTCATTTACCAGTCATTGGTGGCCCATGTATTATTCAACGACCCCCTGAAAGAATACTCTACTCCCACAATACCTTCAGCCACCGAGACTGCACCTGTACCAAGCTCTAAGGCAGAAGCTTCCACGTCAATCTCACAGGTTTTTTCCTGTAACCTTTCACACCTCTATCCGAAACCTGACGTGGAGATCAGCCCCGAGGAACTCAGAGCACACAATCGATACCCTTCGTATTTGCAAGCCGATGAGCCATGGCAGCAAGAACCTTTTGAGACAGGAAGTGAGTGTGTCAACTTTGTCTGCGGTCAACACATGTCACTAATAATACCTCATTTGCATTTTAGAGTGGTATTCCTATCATTCGGATGGATCTCCTATTCTCTATCAACCAACAACAGGTGGTGTGTGTCCCTCGATCAAATATATAAGGAGTTCACGAACCCTAAATTCATTGTTTTCCCTTCAGAACCACTTTTTGATTATCTCAAGAATGATTCATCTTGTTCAAGTGAGATGCAACTCAGCGATGACGAGATACAGACTCCTATGATCCCGACTTATCAGACCTCAAGCTCGCGTAAATCTTCCGATGTTCATGAAGCCCAAACATCACCCGATGGCGATTCTCATATGCTCTCTCAGACCACATCAAGTTCATCATTTGATACGTTTGATGATGACTCTGCCTCAGAAGCAATCGCGGATGCTGAAGTCTCCCTAAAAATGGACTCACCACCCCGTCAGAGTACTACGGCGTACATCAAAAGTCGTAAGAGCAGAGCTAGCGTGACCATGACTACACAGGCGGCTTTGAATGACGTACTCAACATGTACGGCCCTGAGAAGGATAGCGATGAATCAGATGATAATACAAGCGATGCTGATGAAGATTTAAGAGATCAATTCACTTGCGATACTGACTTTACCGTCACCGCTCTCAAGGATGCAACTGCCGATGTTACTTACTGGTCTCAGCCTATGAAGTCGGATTCAGATGAGATACAATCCGATCACATGCCAAACACGTCAAACTCCTTCTCTCAGCGTCCTGTTGATGGCGAAAATTCGTGTTGTGAAGACGAGAATGGACGGCCAATGCGCCCATATGAAGGTATACCAGACTGTTTTCATACATTCGGTCAATCTTACCCATTGTGCCGTTCAAGAAATGATATTGACCTCTTGTCCACCTTTAGATACGTCAACAAAAGCATCCCATAATCCTTCTGGTTCTGGTGGCTCATTCACAATCGGTCAACGATCTACACCTGCGTTCAAGCCGGTTCGTAAGCCGTTGGCCACCCTGACGCCTGTCTATGATGAAAATGCGTTACCTTCGGGTCCTCCTGTCGCCAGTAGCTCAAAGGGCTTGGGCGTCAAACGTATACCTTTGGGAGAAAAGTCACTTGTCACGCCGTCGATTGGAAACGGCTCCTGGTCTCAACCCAACTTTGCGGCGACATCTATGATGGGGTCGGGTCATGATTACGCTCCCAACTTTGTACCTGACAGTTATAAGACGCCTTCAGATGAAAGGGATCAAGATCAATTTTTTCCTGAGGAGATCGAGGAACCTATGTGTGATGAACAAGAACCAGAAGAGTACGATGATTTAGTCGAGATGGCAGATTTCGATCAAGATCGTGGTCATGGATTTTGCCCACTCAGATATATACCGGTTGGAGATAACTTTAACGCTCTGACTCCAATTACTGAAAGAACCAATGAATGTACATCTACTATAGCTCGATCTATAGCTGGACGGTCAGATCGACTTCGAATGTCTATGGAATCTAATCTTGGCCCAGATCGATATTCTCAAGTTGGATCAGATAATGAAGAATCCGAATTGACTCCTCGAGCTAATGATCATCTGTGTATGTCGGGCGGATCACTACATCAGCCTATGAGAGAACGACTTGAATTCAATATTCGACAGCCGGATGACATGCAAATTGATGTCAATTCGTCAGATCACTTCATGACGTCACCCAGTCAGCGCCGTCCTTTTACCTCTCCTCGCTCGTTGATGAACGATCAACAATCACATCATCCATCTCTGCACAATAATCAAGGACATCATTATGCTCAAAGATCAGAAAATGATCGACCTGAACCCATGGACTCAATCGATCATCTCATGCGAAATCAAGCGTTGAATTCCCCACCGATGGACGATAACTTGGATATTTCACAAACTTCAGAAATGATGCAGGCCGGCGAGCCTTGTAATCCATATGCCGAAGAGATCTTATCAGTCTTATTGGAAGGATTAGACCCACCATTATCAGCTTATCCAGGGTTTAGATCATTAAGTAATTACCGAGCCAACAAATTAGCAGAACTTCAACATCATTGTAAAGTACGACCTCGTAAACAAAGTCATGGTGGTGGAAGTTTAGAAGAAGCTAAATGGGAAATCGAATTAGATGGTGATACATATTTTATTTATGAAAAACTAGGTGAAGGAGCATATGGATCAGTATTCAAAGTGATTGAATCTAATGATGGAGAAACTACAACAGCTTATGAGAATGGTGTAGTATATAAAGCAATGAAAGTTGAAAATCCTCCTAATTTATATGAATTTTCAATCTTATCACAACTTCATAAGATCTTGTCACCTCGTTTATGTACTTCTTTAATCTTACCTCATAAATTATACGCTTATTCGGATGAAAGCTTTTTAATACTCGATTACTCTGATCAAGGAACGTTGTTGGATATCGTTAATCGAGCTGGAGAGATGGGCATCAGTCCAACGAATGGTGGCGCTGCTAAAGGAATTGATGAATTACTTGCGATGTTCTTTATTATTGAATTAATACGAGTCATCGAAGGGTTACACGAAGCAGGTTTTATTCATGGTGATTTGAAAATCGATAATTGTTTAGTCAGATTACAAAGTGTACCAGGAGGAAGTAAATCATGGTCATCAATCTATAATTCGAATGGTCAAAACGGTTGGGAATTTAAAGGATTAAGATTAATTGATTATGGAAGATCGATCGATACCAATGTATTTCCAAACCAACAAGAATTTATTGTAGAATGGGAAACCGATGAATATGATTGTCCTGAAATGAGATTAGGTAAATCCTGGAGTTTTCAACCTGATTATTATGGAATCCTTTCGATTTCGTTTTGTTTATTGTTTGGAACGTTTATGAATGAAAAGGATTCCATCAAACCACCATTCAAAAGGTATCATCAAATCGAACTATGGTCTAAATTGTTTAAGGTGTGTTTAAATCCGAATCGATTACCTAATCTTTTGGATTTAAAAACTTGTAGATTGGAGATGGAAAATTGGTTAAGTGAGAATTGTGAAAGGAATGGAAAAAGTTTGAAAAGTTTTTTGAAAAAAATCGAACTTGCTTCACTTTCTAGATAAAAATTGATTGTTAATTTTTTTGGTTTTTGTTTGAGTTGATTTTTTAAGAATCATGACGATGATGTATAACATATTCTTTGTTTTCTTTGTTTTCTTTCTTTCTTGGAATTCATCTTTAATGTTGTATTGGTATTAATTCTTTTTTTCAGTTTTATATGGATTTCGATTTTTTTTGCATATTTTACTTTTTATTTACATTGGAAGAAATCATGTGACTCTTTTTTCCCTTTGTTTTTGTTGGTTCACTTTTAGTCATAATATAAAATAGAATAGTGATTTCGAAATTGCATCAAAAATTTTTCAGTCGGAGTTGAAGTATAAGTGACTACGAGGAATTGGTTTGATCTTTCCAAAGCAAATAGAGAATTGAGCTGTTCAAGTTTTTATGTTTCTGGTGACTATCAATGAATTTCAGCCTGCAAAGTTTATTTGACTCCCCAACAAAGAATTGACTGAAGACAGTACTACTTTTTGAAAAGTTGCAGTGCAAGTTTTGGTCCCTTCTTCATGTCACAAGCCAGAAAAAGCCCTTTTGCATTACTCATATTTTGAATGGCTTTCTTTGGAAGCCCACTCAATCATATCACTTTCCAAAAAAACCTATCACATTGTGCTTGCATGAGAAACATATGGTGACACAGGGTGTATCTTGAATCTCAATAAAATGTTACAGATCAAGCCTCCTTTGAACCTCCATGCAGCACAATCCACCTACAAAAAACATTCCCAATATGCAATGTTCAGGTAGGTGATGCCTAATTTTGGTAAACTTGGGGAGTGAGAAGGATCTCACAAGGCACTAGCAGGGGCAACTTTTGAAGAAATCTCAAGCTGAAAGCTGAATGAGATCTGTGATGAAGAGTCATCCAATGGGAGCAACAATGGATTCATTACAGTCATTTAAGAAAAGCTTGCCCCAAATTGCCCGCAAAACTCAAGCGAATTGGCGGGGAATTTGGGGCAAGCTCTTCTTAAATGACTGTACCAAGTCCTTTCAAAACCTAGATCCATTACAATTTTTTAACATCACTAGAGAACATGCGGGCACGCCCGCCACTGATGAAATGCACCATATGAGAAAATGGGACAGATGAGGACACCCTTCATGCAAGCTGCACAAAAAGAATTCACCCCATTTCAATCTAATTGCATATAAATAGTTTCACTGCATGTATGAAGTAGATCTACAGATTTTAGGGCCCGTTCGGCTCGATTTCCCAAAAGTTGTCACGTAAAAACGATTTTTGATTTTGCCCCTTTTTTGAGGGGCAAAATCAAAAACATAAAACTCGGCTTTTCCATTACCAAACAGTCAACGAAAAAGGTCAACAAAAGATCATTTATTGATTGGACGATGGGGGCAAAAGCGGCTTTTGACTTCAAAAACAGCCTCAAGGCAAACTTATCAAAGTCCCACTCGCTTTGGCCCCGTCGGTACAGGTACCACGTACCTCCGAGCGCCAGCGAGGGACTTAGGTGCAATCCCAAATTTCTGGCGTGAGACTAGACAGGACTTTTGACAAAAACCTGTCATCTCACTTGCTCACAAGGCCTTATTATCAACTCACAAAATGACAATAATGAAAATGAAGCGCAACATCATCATCTTTGATTTGCCGCCCTCCATTCCTCCACGGCCCCATGGGTTCAAAAGATATGAGCAAAAAACCCCTTTGCTCAAAACTCGGGGCCACGTTTGTCTACATGTGTTCCCAACGCTGCGCGTCAGAAAGGTTGGTGCTCGCGAGATTAAATGATTACAGTCAAAACAGCACTTTATGTTGGGCAACATGATTCATAATGCATTTCTTCCTTGATTCCATTCAAGCACCTGGACTTCGAGTGGGATGCTGAGCCTGGAAATCATAGCGGAAATAAGTATCTATCACATGTAATCACTTGAGGTAAGGCATGGCAACTTACAATCCCTTCATGACGCGTGCTCGGCCACTCCTCCAAAGCTCACGTAGAGTAATCAGTGTTGGTGGCCAGCTTGTCAGCATTGATGTTAAGAGCATCAGCCTGAGCATGACCAGAATACAACATTGAATATCAGTATCTATCCCCAGAAATCGACAAAGAAATTCTCACCTGATCTTGTATGAAAGCTTGCCAAACAGCTTCCCCATTGCCAGCTTCATATATCACATCACGTATTGCCATCAGGATGTTCCGGATTAAAGTCCTGGACTCTGGGCTATTGCCTCGCAGATCGTGTCGTCGCGGTCGTTGGCGAGTGAAGCGATGGTCAAGGAAGTGGAAGATGAAATTCCAGACACTCAATGTGGCGAACAATCTCTAACGTTTGGCGCAGTACGGTGTTGGTACTTGGGATGTTGCACGGTTTTCGGCGACCGAAGTAGGAACTGGACCCTCCATTGCGTCGATGAATGACTTGACTGACAACCCTTCATCTTCAATGAAGCCTATGATCCTGCTTACAATCCCTTCCAAGTCAAGCAGTGGGTCTTCGTAAGGTCCTGGATTCATCATGATTAGAAATTGTGGATAGGTAAGTTGAGTCGGCGTAAGAAGTGAGGTGAAGTGGGTGATATTTAATCGAGCTTTCTGATAGATAGATAGATATCCTGAAGGAAGGAAAGCAAGTGCGAGTAGTGCTCTGCCCGCAGCTTGGGCCGTGCAGTAAGGGATTGAGCGACAGCTAGTGATAATTGCTGAGCATTGGCCGCGGAGACACTCCTTCGTAGCATCTTCACTCATTTGATGTGTTTGAGGCGTGATCGTTATTCGTGGGAGTGGTATGCGTGCGGATGTGGTACTACTGGGGTATCAAGATCGTGTACTTGTTGAAATCGATCACCGACTGGCAAACAGCTGTTTGCCTGCAGGGTTTTGTCTGTTATGTCCACCATACTGGGGTTTTGGACGCCGCAGTCGTGCTTTGGTCATGTACGGCCCCGAGTTTTGAGCAAAGGGGTTTTTTGCTCATATATTTTGAACCCATGGGGCCGTGGAGGAATGGAGGGCGGCAAATCAAAGATGATGATGTTGCGCTTCATTTTCATTATTGTCATTTTGTGAGTTGATAATAAGGCCTCGTGAGCAAGTGAGATGACAGGTTTTTGTCAAAAGCCCTGTCTAGTCTCACGCCAGAAATTTGGGATTGCACCTAAGTCCCTCGCTGGCGCTCGGAGGTACGTGGTACCTGTACTGACGGGGCCAAAGCGAGTGGGACTTTGATAAGTTTGGCCTCAAGGCTGTTTTTGATTTTGAACCAACTTTTGACCAAAAGTGGCTTTTGATCTTGATCAAAAACCACTTACCAAACGGTTGTGTTTTTGACGAAAATCAAAAGCCACTTTTGGTCAAAAGTGATTTTGGACTTTGGTGTAGCTTTTGACCAAAAGTGGCTTTTGGGTTCCAGCCAAACGGGCCCTTACTGTTTTTGCGCTTGCTGTCCTCTTGAGGGAATACCCAAAATCAACTTTGTTTTTGTCAGGCCAGGTTCCAACGTCCCCCACTCTTTATTAAATTATAGTGGATTACCATATTTTTACTCCTCTCCTAGTATCTTTCCCTTGGTATTGGTATCATAATGCATTTAACAATCCTTCAACCAGATATTTTGTTACTGATTTGATATACTACTTAAGTCCAGGATGTAATAATACTGGCTGTCAGGTCAAAAAATGCCATGCCAGTCTGTATCCTTACTATGTGTTTAAATTTGTCAAGCATTTCCATTACCATTTTGATGCTGTTTAAGTATGGAAGTCTCTAGCATTACAAGTGTCAACACAATCAATAAGTGTAGGTGTACAAGACTATATAGTCCCTGCAAAGCTTGATGGTAACCATCCACAATTGCCTAACAGGCCATAAAAAAGGCCGACATCATAATCAATTGAAGTCTCCTCTGGCATGACCAGAAGATCAACTCACATTCCCATCGAATCATTCAAGTCAATCTCCTGGGAGGTAGCGCCTGGAGCATCTCTATTCATCTAACTCAGGGTGAGGATATCACCCAGTTTATAAACCCACCACTAAAAGTTGTTTTGAACCAAAGCCACTTTTGTGCCTTCTGCTCCCTTTTATTGGCCCTTCTGCTTTACATGCATAGAAGCTTTACTTGACACAGCAACACACATTCACAGGGGAAAAAATAAAAGCTCACATAGATGTGAGCAGAGGGTACCTTCCTGATAACTCCAAAAATGTTTCAATTTCCTTCAGATTCCTTCAATTTACCATTTTGGTGGTGCCAAAGTGCTCAGCCTGTAATACTTAGGTATTGCTTGAGTTTGCTAAAGCGTGCTCATCTTCATCTTGGATGAGCATCTCTTGAGCATGGATCATCCATTGGATGAGTGCTCAGGACCCAGCTGACACATCACTGTATACTCAGAATCACCTTCAGAAGGATACAAACAATGCTGCCACAGTTACTTTACTGGTATCGTATCGGCGATACCCGGTAAAGTATCAAAAAAACGATACTGTAAGATTCGGTCGGCAGTAAAGTATCGGTTTACCAATACTATACTCGATACCGTATCAAAAACCACGATACCAAGAAGACGTACCTTGGGTAAAGTATCTTGAAGCGATACTGTTACTATACTCGATACTGTATCGGTATTTGTGCCACAATACCAATACTGTACTCAGTATCTAGGCCTAAATGAGAGAAATTATAAACCGATACTTCTCCAGCAACTGCTGGGTAAAGTATTGGTTTTCTAATACTTTACTCGATACGGTATCGAAATCAACGATACCATCCCAAGGACCTGGAAGTAAAGTATCAGTCAGACCGATACTAACACTGCACAGATGTAGTATTTTTCGGCTATGCAAAATGATTAGAATTAATGTCAAAAATGATTAAAAATGCTATGTTAATGCATAAAAATGCACCATTAATGCACCATTAATGAAAAAAAATGCAGCATCAATGCAGAAAAATGCAGTGTTAATGCACATGAAGAATGAATGCAGAATTCCACCTTTTTCAATTTTGTTTGTCCTTCAGGTCA